TCATGGAGAAAAATCAAGCAGGGAAGAGGAGGTGGGAATCCTGGGGGGTTGAAAGTGGTCATGGAAGGCCTCTGTGAGATGGTGATATTTGATCAAAGACTTAGGCAGAGGGAAGAGCAAATGCAAAGGCCCTGAGGCAGAGGCAGGCTTGGTAGGATTGGAGTAATATCCTTGAATTCCAGCAAAGCTGGAATACAGCAAGGAGGAAATAGTGGGGGAGTATTAGAGGGTGGGATTGTATGGGATTTGTAGACCACTTGTGGGAACATTGGTCTTTTTCTGAATGAGACGGGAACCACCAAAAGATTTTGAGTGACAGAGAAGTATAATCTGATCTATGTCTTTAAAAGAATCACTCTTCTCTGTGTCAAGGCACAGACTTAAAGGTTGACAAACATTTAATCCTTATTTAATCCACAGAGAGATGCACCTTGATGTTGGTGTTGTTATCTCTATTTTTTTTTCTTTACTGATGAGGAAATTGAGGCCCAGAGAGATTAAGTAACTTTGCTAAAGTCACTTAGCTGGTAATTGGCAGAGCTAGGATTTAAGCTTAGGTTTTTCTGATTCCAAAGGCCGCGTAGGCTAGGAGAAAAGGGAGCGCTTGAAAGACAAGGGGTTCTAATGATGTTGAAGGAATACTGGGAAGTAGGAAACTGAGTGATGATCATGATAGAAGTAGACCATAGAGCTTGGCAACCACTGGGGTGTGTTGGGGAGAAATGAGTGTCAACAGTGTAGTTTGAGGCGTGCCTGTCTTCTAGGAGCATAGTGGTACTGTTAACAAAATAGAATGGTCAAGAGTAGAAGCCAGTCTGGGGTAAAAGATGGAGAATGTGACTTTGAGCAAGTGGTGGTTGAGGTGCTGGAAGCAAATAGTGGAAATGTCTGGTTGGTCCAGAAAGAAGAGCTCAAGAGATGGGGACCTAGAATCTCCCCATTGTGGTTATGGTGGAAGCTGTAGGGATGGATATGTTCTCTGAGAGGACCGAGGGGAGAACCTGGAAGTGTTCCTCCAGGAGTAGCGAGTGGGGAGGGAGGGAGCTGAGAGAGAGACGGATGAAAAATCAGGCAATGCAGGCCCACAGAAGCCAAGAGGTGAGAGATTCCAGAGAGGGGACGAACCACAGAATGGGAAGTGGCAGTGAAGGGGACTGCCTCTGGCGGGGTGGCTGGGGCAGCAGGCATGTGGATCACCGGAGTGGTCCTGAAGTAGCAGAAAGGGTAAAGCTGTTGGTGCTGGTGGACTGAGACACTGAGGCCCATACCTCGAGAAGGGAGCAAAGTCAAGTGTCCGATTGGGGCCCAATACAGGACAGAGTGTATGAGGTTTGAGAGAGGATGGGATCGATAATAAAGGTGAAAAAGGTATTCGTGGAAAGACAAAAATTCATGTCTTTTGAAGATAAAAGTGTTTAAATTTTTACCCTTATGAACTTGGATAAAGGAAGGATGTGAACATCTGTTTTGAGTCATTTCTGTCTGATGTTAAAAGGAGGATTAGATTAGCACAAAACAGTAGCAACAAGTGTCAGGTGAGCTCACCCAGGTTTCTCCAAGTGTAAAGATTGTGCCGGGTCAGGCCTGAGCTGGACCCACTAGGGGAGTCGAGGCCAGGGGCTGCTCCCCGGGGAGCAGTGAGCAGGTTTATTTCTTCCCGTGTTAATCCTGGAGACGAAACACTGATTTCAGCTATTTTTTTCCTCTTCTGGTATCTTTACCTTTACCTTGAATAACACCCATTTTTACACTTGTGAAGTAACCCTTTTTTTTCCTTCTGAAAATAAAACAGCTTTGTGAGATGGCTTTTATCCTTATCAGTCTCCATATAGATAGGGCGGCTTATTTTATACTAGCAGTGTTTGTTTATAGCCTTAGAGCTAGGCCAGGTTTCTTTTCACATGGCTGGATTTTTTTTTTCTTTAAAGCAAGAATCTTGCCTGATACCATTTCTCATTATTAAATCAAAAACAACCAGTTTTTCATATTGGGCTTTCATTGTACATTCTCAGATGATGCTTTTTGCTTTTCTTTTGCTGGCTTTCTAAATATCTTTAACCTTTTAAATTATGGAAAATTTCAAGCATATTTAGAGAGAATAGTAAAATGACCCCCCATTGTCGCTACTTCCATCTTTTAAAAGTTATCAGCAGGCTGCCATTTTTTGTTTTATCTGTCCCCTCCATATGGTTTATTCCTGTAATATTTTAAGGCAAATCTCGGATTCAAATGGTTCTTTAAGGGAAAAAAAAATCTACAGGGTAGGTCATTGCTACACCTCAGAAGCTGAGCAGCAGTTTGCATCTCTGTCAGAGCTGTCTTAACAGTTGTGCTGTTACCCAGCCTGCAGCTCTGCAGATGTTTATTCCCGGGACCTTATCTTACCGAGTGGGTGGGATGCTAAGACACTGACCACAGAGTCCTCCTGCTGGAGCTCATCTCTTCCTAGCCTAGAAAAAAGCATGGTTCTAAAACACGGCGTGATTGTCCCACCGGTCCTTCCCTGGCTCCTGCCGATGGCCTGTGTCCTAACTGGAACCTTTCTGGTGCAGGACACATCTGGAGACCTGAGGCCTCTGTGTCAGGTGACCAGTGGATAAGCTCTAGAAAACCAGGAAAATCTGCACCTGAAGATGAGTCCCTGAGAGTGAGCAAATGCTGTACAGCAAAGATAAGCTGATGAACAGGACTCGCAGTCCTGGTGGGCTCCATGTCTTGTTTCTGATGAATTGCTAGAATTTGGCAGTGTCCTCTTAATCTGTGTTTACCTGTGATACCTTTAAGTGGCTAACACGGACAAAAAAGATGCCTTCTTGACTGCTGTGTTTTCTGTGGAATATGGCATTCCCAGCCTGCATGGCTTCAGGACTGCGCTGAAGTAACTGGGTGGTAATTGCACCTCGACTATTTCAGTAGAGCTAGTGCTGTGTGCCCTTATTTCCTGTCTCTTGCATCAGTCTGTTTGTGAGAGTGAACCGAGAGGTGATTAATGGGAATGATAAACATATGCTATTGACTGAAAGTTCCTCCTGTTTCCTAAAATGTTTTTGGTTTAATGAATTGTTTGTGTGCTGCCCACAGACCACATGTGGTGTGTGTACTTCTGTTGTTGTGAACACCGTATGCCTTCACATAGGAGCCAGGCTTGTAAAGCAAAGTCAACATATGATAAGACTTGAAAGAGTTTCCTTCATCTGAGACTCCCAAGTGACTAGGAGAATTAGACAGCTGTCTGTCACCATAAGCAGAGCCCGTGGAGCCTAGAACTCTGTACACAAAATCGTATCATGATGCTTGTTGTCCTTGCCCCCAGCTTTGAAGTTGAGGACAGCATGGCTGTGTAGCCCGTGGGGTTTTAATTGCTGGAAATACCTCATTTCTGTGCAGTCTCATGCCTGTGGATTTTACTCTGTTCCCACACTACTATGTCAGCGTCCTCTCACCCCACCAGCATCTACCCCAAGGGATCAGGAGCGTCCTCTTGATTTATGCCTGGGAGAATCTAGGGTGGGAGAAGTTCTGCCATTTTTGACAACAGCAAACATAAAATTGACTTTGTGTGTGTGTGTGTGTGTGAGAGAGAGGAGGATTAGCCCTGGGCTAACGTGTTGCCAGTCCTCCTCTTTTTGCTGAGGAAGATTGGCCCTGAGCTAACATCCGTGCCTATCTTCTTCTATTTTATATGTGGGACACCTGCCACAGCGTGGCTTGATAAGCCGTGCATTGGTCCTTGCCCGAAATCTGAACCTGTGAATCCCAGGCTGCTGAGGTGGAGCATGCGAACTTAACCACTAAGCCACCTGGCTGGCCCCATAAAGTTGACTTTGAGAAAAGACTTCTTTCCAATTTAAGAAGTAATGCCTGCTCTTGTAGAAATTTTGAGAAATATAGAAAAAGTGGGGGAGTCACTTATATTTCCAACAAAGATAACTTACAATTAGCATTTTTTTTGCCTTTCCATCTAGTTTTTTCTATGTGCATTGAAGATTTTCTCCTCAGCTGCATTAATACTCTGTGTACAATGTTATCTTTTCTCCTGAACATAATAGTATAAAGATTTGTACGTTTTAAATTTTTATTTTATTTTATTTGTTTTTTTCCCCCAAAGCCCCACTAGATAGTTGAATGTCACAGCTGCACATTCCTTCTAGTTGCTGTATGTGGGACACAGCCTCAGCATGGCCGGAGAAGCCGTGCATCAGTGCGCGCCCGGGATCCGAACCCGGGCCGCCAGCAGTGGAGCGTGCGCACTTAACTGCTAAGCCACAGGGCCGGCCCAATGTTTTAAATTTTTATGAGCCCTTTTAGAAGCCTTAATTTTCTGCCAAGTGGACATTCTATAATTTAACCATATTATTGAATAGTGAGGTCATTTGTAATGCTACCATGAGCAACTTTGTACAGAAAACATTTTCTATATTTTGTGTTATTTTAAAACTAGATTTTATAGAAATGGAATTAATGGATCAAAGGGAATCAAGGAGAATGAACACTTGAAAGCTCTAAGATTGCCATATTGCTGCCCCAACGGGGTGTATCCATTTAGCATCCAGTCACATTCTCATCAACAGCAAAATTGATTTTTAAGCCACAATTTTGCTTTTCCTAATGGGAATATCTAGTACCACCCCAGGTATCTGACAAGGTGATGATTTTGGTTTTAAAAGTCCTTGATATGTCAGATAGTGACACTGTGACCCACTGTCCACTGTGGGTTGTGACTGGTTCTTCCTTCTGTGTCCATCCCCTGAGTTATATGCAAATTTCTTGATAGCAGTTCTATTCTGCTCTCAGTCCTCTATCCAATCTCAGTGACAATCTTAAGAGCTTACATTTGTGTCTTTGTGTGTGTGTTTTCTACAGTGCCTTTCCATATGTTATCTCGAGTAGGTAAATTTAAGTTATCGGTACAACTTGTGAATTGGTCCTGGGAGCCCTCTAGGAATCTTGATATTTTGAGGTCTGTCTGATGATGCCTTTGTTGTTGTTCTTTTGCACAGATCCGGTTCTGCAGGTTCCAACACATGTTGAAGAGTAAGTTTTCTGATTTGTTTCAGTACTTCCCTTCAATTCATTTCCTTAATTATTCAACAAATATTTATGAAGCTGGGAGTTGCTGGGAGTACATATGTGTGTAAATTTAAGGTATAATGAGAATGATTGAGACATCTAAAGTCTTACAGGTGCTATGATAGAAGCCTGTGTTGGGGAGAGGATGGTCAGTTCCTTGGAGGAGGGAGGCAATGGTATTAAAAAGGCTTATTTGAGAGGAAACTTAAGTTTTGAACTTAAACTTCCAAAGTCCTCAGGAGGACCTAAGGGTTTAGATCTCTCCCTCCTCACTGTTACACCATGGAGAGGAAACAGGAACGTGACCTGCTACTAGAGTGTGTGTGTTAGAGTAAAGATGGATGGCACCGGTAAGAGCCTCAGGTGATGGTGCATCCTAAGCAGAGAAAAGATTCGGCAAGGGGTTTCTGAGCGACTAGTCCTAGTTCAGTCTTTAGCAGGTTAACTTCACCAAAGACCACCTTGCATCTGCTTCATGGGAAGCTACTGACTGAGAGACCTTGACCCATCTCCTTGGCAAGTTCTTTCTGATGTCAAGCTTTCAGAGTCTGCTTTTATGGCCTCCAGTTTAAAAATAAATATTTGTTGAACACTGAAGGTAGATTTTTTCTACCTGTTTATGTACTATGCCATGCTATTAAATATTAATTGCTGAAGTTCTATACACAATTGACTTGGAAGCTGAAAAGTAGTCTTGCTGGATTCTTTTCATGTATTTTACTTTTATCCAGAGTGCTTTGACCAAATGATGATTTACTCTTCTATGGTTTTGTACTGTTTTTCCTTTACAGGTTGCTTTTTTCCACTCAAGTATAGTATACACCACCACAGGGATATTTTATTTATGGCTAAAGTGAAAGAGCAGTGGGTGGAATTGTCTGATATACACACATACACACATCCCACTTCCCCTGCCCCCATTCATGGCTTTGCATGGCTTTGATATTTTGTTCTGTGCCCTGGGCTATAATTTATCATTGATACTTATTGCTTACTCTCTAGGCCTGCCTTCCTTCCAGATCCCAATGATGGCAGCCTTTATACACTGGGAGGCAAGAATAACGAAGGCCTGACGGTGAGTGTATTTAGTGTCTTTGTGTACTTGGGAGGTTCTAGACCAGTGATCCTCAAATTGTTGCTTAAAAAAAAAAAATTCTGGGGATTCTGATTCAGGTGGTCTGGAGTGGGACCTGGGCATCAATATCTTTTCACAGCTTCCCAGATGAGCCTTTAAATGGCAGCCAGAGTTCAGAAACATTGATCCAGACCAGGAGATTCTCATGGTCCAGCCAACACACTGGAAGGATATAATACTGCCTTTAGTAACAGAATTCGCTCTAACTAGTGATTCTCAAGTTAGTTTGAGACACTGCCCACCCCCCAGCAGACATCCCCTTGTGGAAGGGGCATGTGATATTCCATTCCCATCTCCGTTTGAGAAGCTAGACCGGTGGTTCTCAACCTTAGCTGCACATTGTAATAACCTGGAGAACTTTGAGTCTAGGTCCCAATTCCAAAAGTCTCCATTTAATGATCTAGGTCATCAGGATTTTTAAAAAGCTCCCCAGATAAGAGACTTTAGAAACAGGCCCACATATATGGTCACCTGATTATGACAAAGGTGACACTGCACTGCAATGGGGAGGGATGGTCTTTTCAATAAATGGTCTGAGTCAATTGGGGATATCCATATGGAAGAAAACCTTGACTCCTGCCTCTTGGATTGTATTAAAATTAAGACTTTTTCTTCATTAAGAGACGCCGTTAAGGGCCAGCCCCGTGGCTTAGCGGTTAAGTGCATGTGCTCTGCTGCTGGCGGCCCGGGTTCAGATCCCGGGCGCGCACCGACGCACCGCTTCTCCGGCCACGCTGAGGCCGCGTCCCACATACAGCAACTAGAGGGATGTGCAGCTATGACATACAACTATCTACTGGGGCTTTGGGGGGAAAATAAATAAATAAATAAAATCTTTATTAAAAAAAAAAAAAGAGAGACGCTGTTAAGAAAGGCAGGCCACAGTTTATTTGTAATACACATATCCAACAAAGGATTCATATTCTGAATATATAAAGAACTCTTATGGATAATTAAAAAAAGATAGACAACCCAATAGAAAAATAGCAAAAGAGGATATCCAAGTGGTCAATAAACATGAAAAGGTACTCAGCTTCATTAGTCATTAGGAAAATGCAAATAAAATTCACAATGTCATACTACTGCCCACTCACTAGAATGGCTAAAATGAGAAAAATGGAAAAAGAAGAGAGGTGTTGAGGGGGAGTGGAGCAACCAGAACTCTTGGACACTGCTGGTGAAAGTGCACATTGGTACATCCAGTTTAGGAAATTGTTGGCAGTATCTGTTAGAGCCTTATGACCCAGTAATCCTCTCCCAGGTTACATACCCAATAGAAATGCATGTATATGTTCACCAACCCAAATATACTGTGGCACTATTGTAAGTAACCAAAAGTGAAAACTACCCAAATAGCATCAATAGTAGACAGGATAAATCAATTACAGAATAGTTATAAAATTTAATAGTCTACACCAATGAGAACAAACAGTCTATGACTATGGACAACAACAACATGGATGAAATCTTACCAACATAAGATTAGACAAAAGATGACAAACAAAAAAGGCTGTGCTCTGGATGATTCATTTATATTAAGCTCAAAGACAGGAAAAACGAGTCTATGCTGTTTTGAAGTTAGGATAATGATTACCTGAGGGAGTTATGATTGGAAGAGAGGGCAAGAAGGGGGCTTTCAGAGTGCTGGAAACGTTGTTTCTTCATCTGGATGCTGGTTACATGGTTGTATTCACTTTGCAAAATTTAACTGGGCTGTACGCTTATGTGTGCTTTCCGTGTATGTTCTGCTTCAGTAGAAAGTTTTAAAAGCCTACAAGTGATTCTAATGTGCAGCCAAGGTTGAGAATCACTAGTCTAGACCATAGTGGCTTGTGAGCTTTAATTTGGGTATTTTTAAATTATTTTATGAATACCTGTGACTGAAACAGATGGGAGGAGAAGGGCAAACCTTGTGTAGACGTGTGTGTGTTTCACCTTCAACATCTCTTCACAATAGAGCCTCTGTTTCTTTCTTTCTTGTGTGTGTGTGAGGAAGATTAGCCCTGAGCTAACATCTGTGCCCATCTTCCTCTATTTTGTATATGGGACACCGCCGCAGCATGGCTTGATGAGCGGTGCGTAGGTCTGTGCTGGGATTTGAACCTGTGACCCCCCAGGCCACGGAAGCAGAGTGCACGAACTTAACCACTGCACTACTGGGCCGGCCCTGAGCCTCTATTTCATAAGCACTTTGTTTGCCAAAAACTATGTTGAGAGATTTGTATAAGTTGTCTCATTTGAACCTCTCAGCAACCCCCTGGGATATAGGTGTTGTCCCCATGTTAGACATGTGGAAACTGCACCTGGAGAGGTGAAGGAAAGTGCCCAAGACCAAAGCCTCAAGTGTTGGACTTGGGACTTGAAGAGCTTTAACTTCCAAGGGATGCTCTGACCAACCTCCCGTGCGTGTCTTCCTCTGTTGGGGTTTAATAGTCCAGGAACGTGTTCCAGCTTGGGCCCTGAATCGGGAGGCCTGTAGCAGTGCTCAGCAGAATATATAAAGAATATTATATATTCTTTATACCACAGGACACCACAGACTCCAGACTGGAAGCCTTGCAACGACTTTCTGATTCTCAGAAACATCTGGCAGAAACCTAGTCCTTACAGCCTCTCTTTGGCATTTTTCCTTTTCTAAGGCTTAGTTTAAATGTTGAGATAATGGGAAAATCCAAATTGTTGATTATTTAAAGTTCTGTTTACTAAAGCTAGAGAGAAATCTTTTCTTTCTTGGAGAAAAAGCTAACAATATAGTAGAAGGAGGTATCTATAGAACAGTTTCAAGAACACAGAATGTTCCAAAAATAAAGTATACTGAAACAAACAGTAACCAAAAGAACTGGTCAGATGTCAGCTGTAGACTCAGAAGAATCGGTTTTATGATGAAATGCAGTTGAAACATGTGTATTCCTTTGAGTTTCTTTTCCTGGCACCTACCATAACTTCCTCCTAATACCAAAAGGCTCGATTTTCTTCTGTTTTTCAGTAGAGAATTATTTACTAAAGAAAACATCAAAAGTTTTCTTTCCACTTCAAACTCCTGTGTTGCCCACATAGTGATGACTTCTCGTTTCCCTTGGAGCTTCAGCTGGGTACTGAGGTTGCTTTTCTTCAGAGTTAGTCTCATGGCTTGCTCCCACTCTGAAAAGCATTGTTGTTCTCCTCAGTCTAGCCGGCTCTAGGTCAATTTTCCAAGATAGGAGAATTCTTTCTGCTTCTCTTAGAATTTCAAAGATTGTATAACTCTCCATATTTGTAAGTCTTTTCAGAAAAGGTTTGTATCGTCCCCAGAAGCTTTCTGGACTAGAAATTTTGAGAGGCTTCTCAAGTAAAGGAGTTAGTAGTGTTTACAGGGACCTGGGAGCTAAGGGCTTGTCCAAAGTGGGTATGGAATCCTGGGACACCTCTTCCCCTTGGTTTCCAGTTAGGAAAACTCCCATCTACCATCAACAGTGCTTCTTTCTTTTTAGGTGAATTTAGTAACAGAAACAGACTGTGCAGTAAAATTGTAAAAATTGCATAAGACTTGGTTAACTTATTTTTTTTCTTTGACATTTTTTGTTTTTTGAAGAAACTTCCCTTTACCATCCCAGAGTTGGTACAGGCATCCCCATGCCGAAGTTCAGATGGAATTCTCTACATGGGTAAGAGTTCCTGTTTTCAACACTGATACTTTGATCTCTTTGGAAATGAGCCCCAGAATCTGGGAAAGTGGCATGTCTGAGAGGTGTGTGCAGTCCCTCCCCCACCAACCCTTCTGGGAAAGGTCTTTCTTGCCTTGGTTGTGCTTGTTCACGCCAGGATCAGCTGACCAATTAAGAAAGGGTTCCCCCCCTTGGGAGCAGACTTGACACCATTAATATGGTTACTCATTTAACAAGCTTTTAGCTGCTGTGTTGACCTACCCCTGCCATTTAAAGATTGCAACATACCCAGAAGCAATTGGATGAAATTTAAAGTGAATTCAATAGTCTGAGCCAAGGAAGGGAAGCTAGGCTCTGCCTATTAATTATAGAGCTTTCTTAGTATTTCCTGCTATCAGAATATTGGATAAAAACAGCACTTAACAGCTTGCCTATATAAGCTGCCTTCATACCTATGGGGGGTCACATCTTTCAAAGCATCAAATCACTTGCTTTTCTTTTACCACATTGCTGCCAAAATGTCAATAAAAATGCATTTGTAACACAAAGGAGAGCTGTTTTTATCTTGCAATCATCGTAATAATATCCTGTATTTATACAGCAGCTTTCTTTCTGAGGAACTGAAAGTGCTTATTGCCTATTCATGCCTCGGGAGGTTTCTGTGTATTTCTGGGTGTCAAGTGCAGGCTGAATTTTAAGTTTTTGCTAAGGACTCTGGGGCTCCTGCTTCCTTCCACACCTTCAGAAGGAGGAGGCCCCCAGCCCAGGGATTCAGAGGAAGTGATCAGCACAGGCTCTCTCCTCCGGGCCATGCCCCAGGCCCATGAGACCATCTTCTGACCAGCTGTGTTTTCTGTCTGGTCTTCAGCTTTTGCCAGCGATTCATCACTTATGGTGCATTTAGGATATTGTGTTCCCGTCATCTTTGTGTGGTGCCCTCTTAAGTCAGTTCATTAAGCATGTTTAAAATTGTGGCAGTTACCCAATCCATCCGTTAAAGTGCTAGCTGCGGGCCGGCCCTGTGGCTTGGTGGTTAAGTGCACGCGCTGCGATGCTGGCGGCCCGGGTTCGGATCCCGGGTGCGCATCGAGGCACCACTTCTCTGTCCATCCTGAGGCCGAGTCTCACATACAGCAACTAGAAGGGTGTGCAGCTGTGACATACAACTATCTACTGGGGCTTTGGGGGCAAAAAATAAATAAAAAATCTTAAAAAAAAAAAAAAAAAGTGCTAGCTGAGGTTATGCAGACTGTAACGGTCCTTGAAGTAAGCAAAAGGGTGCTGTGCCAGATGGAAAGGGATCATGGTCACAGCTGTTTGGTGATGTTTTCACTCTACCTTCAGATCTTTTTCATATTAAGAGTTTATCTTTGAGAACAGAACATTTTGAGAAGGACGAGTTGCACACGTGTGTACTTGGCCTGTATGCTACATCTGTTAGAACTAAGTGTAGCTTTAGGAAATTCTAATGCCCTGTGATCTTCCTGGCATCTCAGTACTCTGCTTCTAAGAGTCCCTTGAAATAGGAAATTTGGCCAGTAAGTTAGGAAGATACAAGTAACCAGGGGCCATGCCTTACATAACAGAAATGCACACATCACGGTGAATGTGTTGACCTTCAGATGAGAGGCCCCTTCTACTGACTCACCGTTACCAGGATGCCCTGGTGTGTGTACTATAGATACATATGCTTTGAGTTTTCCTAATAGTGTTGTTTGGCTATGTTGTCCACCTGTTTAGACCTTTTAATCAGCTGACTGAGGTGAGGGGTGTAGTATGTGGCTGGGGAATAATTTACGGGCTGGTGTCAGGGGCTGAGATAACTTTGGCCTCATTAGCACCAGGTTGCAACCAACTCTGCTGCCCAGTCACGGGTCCCAGCTAATTAGAGTCATAAACAGTAATTATAGAGCTTTTCACATGAGGTCTCATCAGTAGAGATGTTGAGATACATGAATGATGGTTACCAGAGAGTTGAACCCCTGGGTACATTTCTGTATTTATATAGGTCCTAGTCTATGGCAAAAGGATTGCATTTTACCGGCCAAACTTCATATTTAAGGCCACTAATCAAAGCAATAAAATCTACGAGTTACTAGGTTTGGAGAAATTTTTATACCATGATTAGGTTGTTAAGTTACTAGAAGACCCAGTGGCCCAAGAAGTTTTATTATTTTCCTATTACCATTTACCTTGTCACCCTGGGAGCATCATGGAAATGTCTTCAACAACGGCAGGAATTTCAAGCCTGTCTCTCAGCACAGAGAACATCTTAGGCTGCTGTCTTCAGCAGTGATGTTTTTTTCCATGCAGAACAAGTGTAAACCACAGTGTGTCCTTGTGACCTTTCAGGTAAAAAGCAGGACATTTGGTATGTTATTGACCTTCTAACCGGGGAGAAGCAGCAGACTTTGTCATCAACCTTTGCAGATAGTCTCTGCCCATCGACCTCTCTTCTGTATCTTGGGCGAACAGGTAAGAAGGAACTGTTACCGAACCAAAAGTGGGTTCACCTCCTGGTGTGTTAAAATCAGATTCTCATCCAGAAGTAGTTGTCACACAAAGTAGAACTTTTTTGCAGCAGATAGGAGACCACGTGTAATCATTTCCAAAGTCATGGCTGTCCCCAGCACGGGACAGCAGGGGCCTTTTATTTTGGATGGGGAATGCATATTCAAAAGGGAGAGGTGGGCATTCGCTTGTGTAGGCTCCGTTGGAAAACATGCTTCCACATATGCTGCAGGTTCTGGGTATAAGGCCTAAGCTCCTCTCTTAAACAGTAAAATGCTTCCGAACCCAGCCTTGAGTTCCTCGGGGCAATTAGTCGGTGACAGAACCTTTTGTCATGTATAACCTGCTTGTTTCCAAAAAAGGACCTGAAGTAACCCCCCACGGGCCTCTGCCTCTGGGCTTCATTCTCTAGAAGGTGGCCAGAGCTGTCTCCTCCAGACACTGATTTTACCACATTGTTCCCCTTTATAAGACCTGTCAGTGGCTCCCCATTGTCTGGGGGATTACAGTCCAAACTGCACCACTGCCCACTAAGCCCCGGGATGCAGCTGCTGCCTCTGTCACCTCCTCCCTCGCTGCATTTCTCTCACTTAAACATTTCCAAACAGGATGAACCACCGGCAGTTCTCAGAATAAGCAGTGCTACTTTTACAAACTTGGAATAGAGGGGTCCGTCTCCGCCAGGTACACACGTTTTGGCCTGTGTGGCCAACGTCCTCTCTTCTTTTACAACGCTGCTCAAAAGTCAGCCTCTCTGTGAAGCCTATTCCCCACCTTGCCGCCCCTCTCCCCACCAGGGACGGCAGCTCTCCCATTTCTGGGCACACACAGCAGTTTTAGGGGTCTCTTGTAATAGCCATCTCACTGGCTGTCATTGGCTCTTCACAGGCATCAGCAGCACCCTCTCACCACGCCATTTTCTATCTCCTCTCTTTTCAGCCTTATTCTTCTTCTTAACACTTGTCACTCTGTGTTTCTAAATCGTATCTGCCTATTTTCTGCCTCCTGCACTAGACCGACTGTCACCTTCCTGAGGGCAAGACTTGGATCTGTTCACCTGCCGTATCTCCACACCGGGCACAGTGCTGACACGTAGTGGGTGTTCAGACGTTGGAGCGAGTGGCGGATGGGTGCAGGGATGGGCGCCTTATTCATTTTATGTGTGCAGCACCTGACATATACCGTCCTCCATAAAAATTGTGGGATGGACAGTTAAAATAGAGCTAAAAGGGGAAACAAGAAAACATTTAGAAGGAAAAAATTATGCCAAAAACCTAGGATGAAATCATTACAGTTGAGCACTAAATATAGGTCTAAACATTGAGGTAGCCAAGGCTTTAAAAAAAAGAGACAGAGTGGGGGCCAGCCTAGTGGCTTAGTGATTAAGTTCACACGCTCTGCTTTGGCGGCCCGGGGTTCGCAGGTTCGGATCCTGGACACGGACCTGTGCACTGCTCATCAAGCCGTGCTGTGGCAGCATCCCACATACAAAACAGAGGAAGATTGGCATGGGTGTTAGCTCAGAGTCAATCTTCTTCACCAAATAAATAAATAAATAAATAGAAAAAGAGATAGAACCTTCCTTCAGGTGCTGTGGAAAACAGTGCTTTTCTAGAAATGAGTGAGACTACTCTTGGGCCCTGTAGAATCTGGCTGGGCTCTTCTGTACATAGGGGAAAGGTCTCTGTTAGATTTCAGGACTCTCTACTCGCTGCCACCTCCTGGTAAAAATCAAGTATTCCAACTTTAGTGACTGCTTAGAGTTTGTTTACTGTTTCCATCAAGTAAAGCCTTAGAGTGGTTCCACCTTCAGCCAAGAATAAATATTGTTTGGTTTTCGGATAGAGTTTGAGATGTTTGAGGGAGTTGGGATATGCTCTGGCATTAGGTGGGATGTGTGTGCATGGGTATAGAAAGCCCCATTGTTTCCGTTATCTATTGCTGTGTAACAAACCACCCTAACTTAGTGGCTTCAAACACCAACATTTTATTGCTCACGATTCCGTGGGTCAGGAATTCAGGAAGGGGATGGATGTCTCTACTCCACATGCTGTTGACTGGGCTCACTCAGATGTTTGGGACCTTGGTTCAACTCTACACAGGTATCCTGGACTTCTTTACATGGCGGCTGGGTTCTTGTCTTGAGTAAATGTGGACGTTACAATGCCTCTAAAGCCTGGGCTCAGAAGTCCCGGAATCTCACTTGCACCACAGTCTGTTGGTCAAAGCAAGTCACAGGGTCAGCCCTGTGACCCAGGTCACCCCTGAATCAAGGGGTGGGGAAATAGAGTCAACCTCTTAATGGGAAGACTGACACACACATTATGGGAGGGGGAGAGTTGGTGGTGGTGATCTTTTCAGACATTCTACCACAGTCCTCCCTCTGGCTACAGTAGTTTACAACCCTCCCACCTGCAGAATATACTCAACGCATCAGTCTCAAAATCCAGCATCTTGTGATCTACATCAGGTTTGGAGGTGGGTGAGGCTCCTTTTGATCTGGAGACCTGTGAATTAAAAAGACAGTTACCCCTCTCCCCCTCCTCCCTCCCACCCCCCCCGACATACAATGGTGAGACAGACAGGATAACTACAGTAAACATTCCCATTCAAAAAGGGAATGAGAGAGAGGCACATGGCAGTCACTGGTCCTTAGTGATTCTGAAATCCAGCCAGGCCCATGGTTTCAGGTTTCCTTACTCTGAAGGCAGGGAAGGGCCCAGTCTTGTCCTCTGGGATTGATTCCTTAATGTATTGTTCTCAGGAGCTCTTGCTCCTGTCCTCTGAAAAGTTCTTTCTTTTCCATAAGAAATAGTTAGTGTTTTATAGCTTTCTCAGTCTGTTTCTTGTCCTTTGAAAGTTGGGGTTCTAGAGGCCTTTTTTTTTTTTTTTTTTTTCATTTTAACTACCTCTAGTCTTTTTACTCCATGCTGGTATCACTCCTTTAAAAACTTTGTGGGCTTCCCATATGCCAAATTATAGTCTACTCCATTAGATTAAATCTCTGTACTTTGTACTATGGGACAACACTCTTAGGGTTCTTAGAACCCTCTTACTTGGCAGAGGTCTACAAAGTACCACCTTAAATCCTTCTGAGGACTTAAAGAAGGGTCTTATAGCCTCACCCTTGCTTTGTTCTTGACCCTGAGGCCACTTTTTACATTGAGAATCTTTTCTAGCTGGAGCATCAGTCCTAGACCCTCTATATTTCCTCTTTAAATCAGTTTGAAAACTACATGGTTTCTTCTATAGCTTATCCATCTTGCATTATATCATACGCAGTTAAGAGAAACCATTTGGCACTTTCTTCATTCTGCGTGGAAATCTCCTTAGCCAGTCCCACAAGTTCATTAGGTCCTTTCTTTCTATTTTCCAAGTGACTGCAAGCAGTAGTCCTACTAATTTAGTGTCACCACTAAATAACCTGTGTCACCCCTTTTCAGCTTCCAGTAGCAATTTCCTTACTGCTCTTTCAGTCTCCACGTTGACTTTCAGCCTCCATCTGCTACCTGGTTCAAAGTCAATGCCACATGTTTTAGGTTTTTGTTATGGCACCATCCTACTTCTAGGTATCAGTTTCTAATATTTGCTATCTATTGCTGTATAATAAATGACCCCAAAACTTTAGTGGCCTAAAATCACACTGGGATATTGCTCCTGATTCTGTGAGTCATGAGTACAAGGACATGGTGTGGCATGTCCCTGCTCCACATACTGTCACCTGGGTTCACTCATCTGTCTGAGACTTCAGTTCTCCCTCACATGGCCTTTCTCTTTCCACATGGATGGCCTGGACTTTTTACATGTGATTTAGGGAGGATTTGTCTGTTGTCATTGAAATAAGGTCAGCACCTCAGCAGGTGCTGTGGCCGCTCCAGGTAACAGGCTGGTGTGTATTCTCCAGAGTACACCATCACCATGTACGACACCAAAACCCGCGAGCTCCGGTGGAACGCCACCTACTTCGACTATGCAGCCTCACTGCCCGAGGATGACATGGACTACAGTAAGTGCTCCTGGGTTTGCAAGGTCAGGTGGGTACTTGTGATCTATGAGGAAAGGATTTCTCCAGAAAGCTGGATTTTCTTTTAAGACACTCTTGGTCACCAGGATGTGGACTTGCCAGGGACTTCTAGTAAATACTTCAGCAGTCACTGTTGAAGGCAGGGGCCTGGGTGAGAAGTGTGGAGGGGAACCCAAATAAAATGGTGGTGAGTTTAGCCTGAGAGGAGGGAAGATACACTTTGTTGAGTCTCTCTGCGTCACAGAAGAAATTTACTACAAGCCCATGGGAAGCAGAGTTAAACATCAGCTTGTGACACTAACAACCCACTCCCTAAATGAGGCTCATCCCCTAGTTATTTCTCTAGTAAACATTCCTAACTCAAATGAAGACTAAAAACCAATTTTACCATCTTAACCCTGGTATCTGAAGTCTGACAGAAATCTCATCTGTGTCAGATGTGGGCAGTGTCGTGGTCAGCTCTGACTTTCAGCTTGACCCATAGATTTGAAATGATTGCTAGAAAATGCCAGATTCGTAGGCATCTCCATTGGCTGCTTTCTCCTCAGTATTTACTGTAACTAATTGAATAGAGTGCTAAAGAACGTCACCAAGTAAATTGTATTCGAGAGTGATCTTCTCTTATGTTTATAAACCAGGCTGCTCCCAGTGTCTTGATATTGTAGAGCCTGCATGAATTCATTGGAAACAAGTACAGTTATTCAAAGGAGATCTGAGAATACTCCAGAAGTCTTGTTTCCTCTAGCTGAGTGACTACAACTTGCCAGGAGAGGAGAGGATGTGGTTACAAGATGGGGTGAGGCTTGACATGCTTTGTTTATTTCCTCTCTACAGAGATGTCCCACTTTGTGTCCAATGGTGATGGACTGGTGGTGACCGTGGACAGTGAGTCTGGCGACGTCCTGTGGATCCAAAACTATGCTTCCCCTGTGGTGGCCTTTTATGTCTGGCAGCGGGAGGGTCTGAAGAAGGTGATGCACATCAACGTCGCTGTGGAGACCCTGCGCTATCTGACCTTCATGTCTGGGGAGGTGGGGCGCATCACCAAGTGGAAGTACCCTTTCCCCAAGGAGACGGAGGCCAAGAGCAAGCTGACGTGAGTTGGGGAACTCAGGGCAGAAGAGGCAGCTGTGACCCTGACGTTCTGGTCCTGCTGAGGTGTGGTGTACCATACACTGGAGACCAGTGGGCTCGGGGCAGACATCTCCAAAGCCACAAGGAATAAAGAGCCAAGACTGTCTCATTCAGGAACTTCAGAATATAACTGGGGGGCAGCCCTTGAGGCTTCAGAATTCTTAAATATTAAATAAATTAAAATTATGGGTGGGGATAGGAAAGAGACTACTGGTATAACTACAGTACAATGTGGATATATATCAGGTGGTGGGAATATAAGAGATGTATTTCTCTTTTAACTTCCCTTATTTTCTAAATTTTTACTCTAAGTTATATTTTAAAAATCAGGAAAAAAGTGTTACTGTGTGTGTGTCTAAGACTCAGCAGGCTTGTGTTCTCCATCCCCACCTATTAATAGGTCACTTAGCCTTGCTGCGCCTCAGTTTCCCACTTTACAGAGCTGTGGAGAAAAATCAAATAAGATAATGTGCAGGAAAGTGTTCTCCAAATTGTACAACACCATTCAAATGTAAGGTGTTTGCTGAGAGAGGTTTAGTAGATGACGAAGCCCAAATTGGCTAGTGATAGTAACCAGAAGGGTCTGGAGGTGCAGCCCCACTTTTTTACACCGACAAAGCAAAACCCCCACCCCCTCCTCGATGCCCCAGAGGGCCAGAGGACCCAGCTGGGGGACCAGAAGTCTCACCCAGTTTGGAATTTTTTGTGCATCCCTTTGCTTTAGGTATCCAGATTAGAGCAGTTGACTATTTCTCAGGGCTTCTATAGAAGCTCTAGAATCCTTAAGAATCACAAGATAGAATGGTGGTGGTTCTGGTGTCAGCTCAGTTGTCAAAACGTGCTGGCCAGCGCTGTCTTAGAGGCTTTGCGGTGGCTGCACTCATTCCTTCTCTCCCAGGTGATCGTTCCTTACAGTCCTTTTTGCAGGCCGTCTATGCAGCCCTGCCATTTGCAGATGAGGAAACAAAGCTTGCAATTAGGTGACTTGTACACCATTTGAAGGCAGTGAATGACAGCTGGGGCCTGCAGTCCAGTTCTCCTGGTTCCTAGGGCCTTCACACCCCCGCTGCTCGGAGTGCTAGGGGCTTAATCTGTTATTCCTGTGGGTGGTATTTGGGGCTGTGATACTTCTCTCCAAAAAGCCCCCTTTTGTGGGATCCAGAAATGAAATGACTGGAATGCATGTATTCGTTTTTCTCGTAGGCCCACCTTATATGTTGGGAAATACTCTACCAGCCTCTATGCCTCCCCTTCAATGGTACACGACGGGGTCGCCGTTGTGGTAAGTCCTCTACAGGGGGCTCAGAGACGCAAGCTTCTAACTGCTCCTATTCCATTTTAGCAAAGACTGACTTTGAATCATATGTAAACATTTTGTTGGTTAAGAATGCAGGACACAGATCTTAAATCCTCAAAAACAACTTGTACACATACCATGTTCTACTTCACGAGGAGAGATGTATGACACAGGCACCTTCCTAAGCCCAGGAAGCCGTGGTTATTCCCCATGGCTTCCGAGTTCAAGTCTAAGCTGCCCAAGCTGGTGTTCATGGGCCTCCTCGATCCAGTCCCGCGGTGCCCCTCCTCCACCCCGCTAGTGTCTCGGGGAGTCGCACAGTCCCGCCGAGTGCATCTTCTCCCTGATTTCCAAAAGTTCCCTGTTCATCTTTCTTAGCCTTTGTTTGGGCTGCGCCTCACACTTCAAATGCTCTCCCTTCTTCCTTTTCCCTACTCAAATCCTTTCCATCGTTTCGTGACCTATGCCAAGCCTCCTCAGGTCTTGCCAGTCTGCCTCCAGCGCTCCGTCTCTGAGTGTCCGAGGCATCATGATCCTGGCTGCTCGTTTGGGTCCTTACAGTGCTTGAGCTGTTTGGTTGGCATCTCTTGTCTTTACAGTGAGTTGGCCGCTGCTCCTGTGAGCAGGGCAGTACCTGCCTTGGTTGCAGCCCCAGCAGTGCCCCAGCTAGCACTGGGCTTGCGGCTGGAGCTTACTCCCCACTGGTGAGTCGCATCAGTTGTGGGCTGGTAGATACCCACACGTTCTCCTTCACTTATTCTGCTGCTCACAGTAGCCTCTTAGAATTCCACACACGTCTTTCATATTCCCCAGTTCCCAGAAATAAGAATTTAAAAAGATGCCCATGTTAAACACATCAGTGCAGCACTGTCACGTCCTGAGGGAGGAGCTTCTCCTGCCCAGTCTTAGGGGCTTTGTGTCTTGCTCTGACTGTCTTGGACCAGCCCCATCTGGAGGTATGGCAGTCCTTTCAGCTCTTAGGACCGTCACAGGGAAGGTCTACTACTCACCTGCAAGGGCTGCCCCCAGGCCTCACTCCACTTCTGTCTTCGCAGCCCCGAGGCAGCACTCTTCCTTTGCTGGAAGGCCCCCAGACCGACGGTGTCACCATTGGGGACAAAGGGGAGTGTGTGATCACACCCAGCACGGACCTAAAGTTTGACCCTGGGCTCAAAGGGAAGAACAAGCTCAACTACTTGAGGAACTACTGGCTTCTGATAGGTAAGAGTTGGTTTCTCCTCGCCTCAAGTGATGACATGCTGCCTCCTGGTGGGCGAAAGCCAACCTTGCCAGTTACTGTCCTCAGCTCTGCGTTGTGCTCAGTTCATGTCCAAGTTAGTCTTTCAGACCTGGGAACATTTTTACCTGCAAGGAAAATAAACAAGGTAGCTGTGTTACCAAGTCAGTTCTCAAAAAGTGTTTAACTAATGTTCCAGAACTCAAGTACTAAATGATGTAAACTTTGTGCAGTCATCTGACACATTGAATGTCAGTTATGTGCCAGGCATTGGCATCAGCACTTCAGAATACATTTCCTTATTCCTCACAACAACCTTGTGTGAGGTAGACACCCTTGTTATTTCCACTTAAGGTTAAGGAAGCTGAGACAACTTCTGTGGAAGAATTCACTTGGAGTTGGTGTAGGCGTGGGAGTGGGGGTGAGGGGTTGGGAGAAGAGAGAGTTGAAGACTCATTGAGGATGCTGAAGAGTTAGAGGCTGGACTTGGGTCAAGGAGCCACAGCGGAAGTCCCAGGTGTGTGTGGGAGGTCCCTTTTCCCTTTTCTTCCATTGTTGCTGCCATCACTGATGCCCTGGGGGTGAATTGGAGGTCCTGTCAGCCAGAGAGAGAAGAAGTTGAGATGACACCAAAGGCAGTGAGTGTGACAAATGAAGGCAGAGGTGAGAGGAGCTGTGTTTTTGGCAAGTCTCCCACGTAATTAGAGCAGGACAGAGTTTTCTTGAATGTGGTTTGCCCTTTCTGTCACCTCCCCCAATTCTGCGTCCCAGCCCCAGAGGTGGCAAGAGGTGGGGATGCAGCCCCAGGGGAGGCAGGAGGTAAGTGCGGTGCCGGAGCACACGGGGTGATGAGGCTTCTCTTCCCCATTCTCCCTCTTGGTGCCTCGCTGGTACTGGGCAGAGAGAGGGCAGGGCTGGGGGCGCAGGGAAGGGGATGTGCAGCGGCTTGGGAGAGTGTGGGGCCCGGGAGGCAGAAGAATCTGGGGTCTGGATGGTGGTGTAACTGGGGGTTTCAGGGGGAGACTGGGTGTACTGGAGCATTGATGGTTCCCCTTGTAGTTATCTAGGTCTTGTTCTTCTTTGTGCATCTTGATTCCTCGTAGCCATTTTTCTTTTGGTTATTATTTTTATCAAATAATGGGCAAAGAAGATAACAAAATAATTCTACTTTTTTTTTTTTAACAGAAGTAGTTTGGAAAGTATGTGTGAATGGGCCCGTGGTGAGGAAAAATAGCTGATGAGCAGAGGTTATTACAGTTACAAGGCTGCTTAGTTTTAGGTGCCAGTTAAGGGGTACATAAACTGCATACCAGTGGTTAAGAAGTGAAAAGATTGCTGGAAACTAAGGAAATGTGTATGTGAGACTAAAAAACATGGGAAAAAAGTCTTCATGGCTTAGTTGAAAAATGGCATCCTTTTAAAATGGAAAGGTTGTCCAAGTAAGGAAACTGAGAAACCCAACAAAGTGTAAAGAAGTAATTAGGAAGCATCCCACAGTTCTGAAGTCCCTTTTGAGGAACTCCAAAGCTAGTCATTTTTGAATAAGGCTATGGGACTACTTGACAATCTTTGTGTAGACTGGGGGCCACAGGTAAAAAAGCATATGCTCTTTTATGTCCAACTATGTCCTTTAGTTTGGTTTTTGTGGAAGACATTAAGGATATCCCCACATTCCCATTAATCTTGAAAATAAAATGAATCCACTTAGCTTGTGTGGTGTGTTCTGTGGGTTTCCCGAGAGCAGTGGCCCTAACCTGAGGTGCTCTCAGCTTCACCTGGGAGCTTTGTCAGTTAGGCACACCTGACCCCTGGGTCCTGATTCAGTGGATCCAGAGCAGGGCCCATGCTTTTTGCTCTGGAGCCTGGACATAATTAATGATGATAGATAGATAAATCGCTAAGACCAGGTACAGTTTGTACAAAAATGTTTCAGGATCTCATGATTACGTTTGAAGAACAGTTGGTTGAGTGTGCAGTGTGATTTTGCTAAAGGCCCAGCTATGGGAGAAGCTTGTTTATAAGAAGAAATACAAGAGGAAGAGGGGATTCAGGCTGATCACTTTCATAGCAGACTGTTGGTAGACACCCTACCAGAGGGGTAGGACTTGGAGGGCTAAGAGTGGGCTTTGGGGATGGGGCAGGCAGGGCCCTGTGGGGCAAGGTGGCATGTAGAAGGGCAACCTGATTTCTCTTAGAGCAAAGGTCTCTTGTTAGCCTCGGAGGTACCCAGAGATAGTCACATTCAGATCCCTGGGCCCCACCAGCAAGTCTGAGTTGGGGGTCTGAAACCAGCAGACCACACATGAGGAAATCCTGCTCCATGGCAAAGCATGTCTCAGAGTTCTTTGGCCAACAATGGGAAACCAGTGGCGGTTCAAAACAAAATTAGGTTTCCCTTAAAGAACAATGTTATGCTGTAGATAGAGAACTGACATAAAGATAGGGAATTAAAGAGGATTTTTCCAGATCAAGAAATGTACATAGCTTGCACTAGCTCTTGTTTGTTTTTATCTTGGCAGTACATATAAAATCTTTGATAGGTTTGGGAGAACAATGGAAAGATCATAGGGTGAGATCTAATCGCAGTGAGAGAACAAAAAGGAAAGTTTGTCAAGGTGCTGAGAGCCCATTGTGAGAGTGTCAGCTGGCTCTTTTGGGTGTATGTGGAGTCATTTAATTTTAGAGCTAAACAGATTATGAAGCATTATCAAATCCCAGTTCCTTATTTTATTCAACTTTGTCTCTCTTCTGGTAATTTTATGCAATAGATACTCAATAAACCTGTAATGAATACTAGGTGGTCTTGAAATAGTAGAGAACAGTGAATGAACGCTGAGAGAACTGTGACCCCCTATCCATCTAGCAAATACGTCTTAGTGCTCTCTTATGAGTAATTCACCGTTTCCCAAGATGGAAGCTCACATTTAGATAATGGGAATAGAATTCCACCTGAGCAATTTAAATACCAAGATGGGAGTTGATACCCTTAGTGGAGCAATGTTACAAGGGTAAGGGTTGAGGGGAGAACTCCTTGAACTTTTAATGAAGCTTCATAAAGCTTCAGCAGCGTACAGCCTAAACTAGGAATTATCCACACAAGTCTTGCTCTGAACGTCTCCCAAACATCCTGATCCCTCTCATGACAAGGATACTTCTTTGCTGCTCATTATGAGATTCCGAATACTGTATACATGCCATTGAGTAGTAAAATTTCTGTCTTGATGAGATTTTTCTGGTAACTGGCTCTCCTTTTCTCTCACTTTACAAATGTGAGCATTTGCATTGTGGACCTCTCACGGGTAGCAACTGCTGCCTAAGCTTAGCGTTGAGTGCTGCCAGTGCGTGGGCACTGTTCTCATTAAAGGTTTCGTTTCCTTTCCTAGGACACCATGAAACCCCACTGTCTGCGTCGACTAAGATGCTGGAGAGATTCCCCAACAATCTGCCCAAACATCGGGAAAATGTGATTCCTGCCGATTCAGAGAAAAAGAGCTTTGAGGAGGTGAGTGGGGAAGTGAAGTTAGTCACTGGCTCTTCGTGTCAGGTTTGGGGGGATAAGCATTTGCCTTTGTCTTTAGAGCCTGTGGTCTCCTCAGGAGGGAGGAGAATGCAGAGGAATCCACAACAAACAACAAACTGTTAAAGACTGATGGGGAGGGAGGGGAAGCAATAGTGAAGCTGTGGGAGGGGCTGTAGGACCGAATGGGTGGGGTTTGGCCTGGAGGGAGAGAAGCAGAGGTAAAGGCCTGGAGGTGGGAATAACCCTGGCAAGTCCGGCTCTGGGGCTGAGGAGACAGGCCTGACCAGATCCAAGGCTACCAGGTAGGGAGCAGTGGGAAATGCGATCACATGGATGCAGAGGAAGCATGCTACCAAGACTTGAGCAAGCCTGGCAGTGGAGTGAAGAGTTGATGAAGAGGAAGTGGGGAGACCTGAAGTTTCATGAAGCCAAGAGTGGCCTGTTAAAAGTGGCCTGGGTTGGCTGCTTGGTCTGGGAGGGACACCCCAGGCTACCTCAGAGCGGAGCATTGGGCAGTGGGGAGGCTTACCCAGGAGGTAGCTGCTGTGAGGTTCTGACTTGGGTGACCCTCCTGCAGCCCTGGGGGGAGAGAGTGTGCTGGTCAGGGTCTCAGCTGGCGACAGATGGCCACCCAAATTAGGGTAATTTGAGGGGAGTTTAATAGAGGGACTGTTGACACAGTAGACACTTCCAAGGGTTCTCTTAGCGTGCTTTGGCTTGAAGTGAGTGCAGAGGGAGTGGGGACCCCAGACCAGGAGCCTAGAGCTTTAGTTGAGGTAGTCAGCAGCCCCACAGAACTTGACCTCATTCTCCTCCCTCTGTCTCGTGTGCTGGTGTCCCAGTTAGAAACCAGAGGGCAGGGGAGACCATTGCTCTGCCCATAGGGGGCAGCCTTCTGGGGCACAAGCAGGTGGAGACGGCTGGAGAGTGGCTCTGCAGGGGGGTTGGAGCAGGCCAGTGGAGTAGGGGTGGGCATCCAAAGGCCATTTGGGCTTGGCAGCTCCTACAGCCCCACCGTGGGGGACCCAGTGACTGAGAAGGGGCCTGGGCTATGGGCAGGGTCAGAGGAAAATGAGAGAGGCTGGCTAATGTGGGGACCACGATCACGACAAATTCACTTCAGAGATTTACACATCTCTGGAGGTAGCCAGGTCGGAGAAATATATTGAGTCCTAAAACAGTGATCTTGGAAAGCGTTGGTGCCCTAAAATCTTGATCTGATTTTGATCTTATTAAAGTCAAGCATATTTGTTATTGAACGCTTAGAAAATAAAAGTATAAAGAAGAAAATAAGACAATACCCTTAATCTAACACCCAGAGATAGCCACACTTGAGATTTTCATAATCATCCAGTCTTGAACAGTCTTTTAAAAGTCCATTAAAATACTCTGACGTACATTTATATGGTAGTAAGACGTAACTTTTTTAAACAAACATACTTGAGTGAATATAACCAAATGAGTGTTGTCCCTGGTCACATGCTCAGCAAACATTCCTCAGCTGCCTGCTGCACACCAGCCATGCCACACCCCCGTGCACATGGGAGAGGGCAGCTGGAGGGGGAGAGAAGGGCACTGTGGGCAGAAGTCTGGGGGGCTGAAAGGGGTGAGCATGGGGGGATGCCGAGCCCTGCGCTCACTGAGGAGGCTGTGTTCATTTCATTGGGCAAACAATAACAGCATATCTGGAACACTGGATGTTCAAGAACAAATCTGCATTTTTCTAAACTGTTCTTGAAGTCCTAGAGATTCTGAAGAGCTTGGGCAGAAGCTCCACTTTTATCCGATTTAATTTGGAGCTTCTAACTAAAATTTTCTTTAATAAAGGGTTCTGATGCTTTTCAAAAACTTTGAAAAATAGTGGAATACTTCAATAAATGATTTTGTTTTTGGAGTCTCACTGAACGTTTACAAGCAACATAGGAAAGCTGCTTTATTGCCTTATAGCCGCACGTGCATGTGTGTGTATGTGGTATTCCTTTTTAATGTGAAATGGTATTACTAAATTGACTACCAACCTTTTCACCAGACTTTGTTACAGACCATTTCAGAGTTTTCCCGAATATCAAATCTGCTGTGAAAGGAGGAAGTATTTGCCTTCAATGAGGATTTTCAAAAGAATATAGGATCTGAAGAAGGCACTTTCAACAGTATTGCTCTAAAAACTTTGTTTTTTCTTTTTTTTTTTTTTTGGAGAGGGAGAGTGGGCATGAGCTAACATATGTTGCCAATCCTCCTCTTTTTGCTGAGGAAGACTGGCCCTGAGCTAACATCTGTGCCCACCTTCCTCTGTTTTGTATGTGGGACACCACCACAGCGTGGCTTAATGAGCAGTGTAGGTCTGCGCCCAGTATCGGAACCCTCGAACCCTGGGCCGCTGAAGTGGAGCGTGCGAACCCAACTGCTACGCCACCGGGCTGGCCCCTAAAACCTATTTTTGAGTATGATAATATCACTGCAATGATGCATGGCTTCTCAAGGCAATCGCTTTGATAAAGGCAACAATTATCTGGCTTTGTGATCTTTGGGTGGGCTTTAAAAAAATCCGCAGTACAGTATAGTCATTCCTTGTAGTCATTGCTTCTCTTGATTGCTCGGCTCATTTATATCTGGCTAGAAATTTTGCAGTGATGTAGCCACTCTCTCCCATACAAGGTTATCAACCTGGTTGACCAGACTTCAGAAAATGCGCCTACCACCATTTCTCAGGATGTGGAAGAGAAGTTCACTCATGCCCCTGCCAAGCCTGAGGCCCCCGTGGACTCCATGCTCAAGGACATAGCCACCATTATCCTGTGCACCTTCCTGCTCATTGGCTGGGTGGCCTTCATCATCACCTACCCATTGGTGAGGCTTGGCCCCTTCCCTTTGCCCTCCTGCATGTTTCTGAACTTCTGTGCCCATCACCTGATGTCAGTGGGGTCCAGACAAAAACAGCAAACAAGCAGATACTGCAAATAAGCAGATGCGTTTTGTTTCACTTTTAAAAGTTGGGGCTGGCCCCGTGGCGTAGCGGTTAAGTGCTCGCACTCTGCTGCTGGCGGCCCGGGTTCGGATCCCAGGCGTGCACCAACCGCTTGTCAGGCCATGCTGTGGCGGTGTCCCATATAAAAGTGGAGGAAGACTGCTGGCGGCCCGGGTTCGGATCCCAGGCGCGCACCAACCGCTTGTCAGGCCATGCTGTGGCGGTGTCCCATATAAAAGTGGAGGAAGATGGGCACAGTTAGCGCAGGGCCAGTCTTCCTCAGCAAAAAAAGAGGAGGATTGGCATGGATATTAGCTCAGGGCTGATCTTTCTCACAAAAAGAAAAAAAAAAGTCAGTATTTGCTTATCTTCAAAAACATTGAAATTAAAGAGACACTAACTTCTCAGGAAAGGACAATTTTGTACCTACATCTTATAGTTTAACTGATGGTAAAAACTGATCTGTAAGCCTTGCTTGCAGATCATTTTGAATAGTTAACTGTTTTCTTTTACTTTTCTTAAAAACTGCCTGTTAAAGATATCAGATAGAGGGGGCTGGCCCCGTGGCTTAGTGGTTAAGTGCGTGCGCTCCGCTACTGGCGGCCCAGGTTCGGATCCCGGGCACGTACCGACGCACTGCTTGTCCGGCCATGCTGAGGCGGCATCCCACATACAGCAACAGAAGAATGTGCAGCTGTGACATACAACTATCTACTGGGGCTTTGGGGAGAAAAGGGGGAAAAAGAAGAAAGGAGGAGGATTGGCAATAGATGTTAGCTCAGAGCCAGTCTTCCTCAGCAAAAAGAGAAGGATTGACATGGATGTTAGCTCAGGCCTGATCTTCCTGACAAAAAAAAAAAAAGATATCAGATAGAGTGAAAAGGCGGCATAGTAATTCCTTCGACTTTCTAGTTGGAAGTAAGCGAGCTTAAATTACGTAGTTGAGTAGGTCATGGGTTGGGTAAAATATGCTAGAGGAATATTCCTTAAGTTGCTCAGAGCACTGACATGTTATCACCTTAGGACACAAGTGCTCAGGAATGGGAGTGACAGGTCCTTTATGGCACTTTCCATTTGTCCAAATGTGTTTACCTGCATTGTTTTATTTTTTTACCTGACAGTCTTTATAAGGTTATTATTATTTATCCCCTACCCACAAATGAAGAAACTAGACTCTGGGAAGTTAAATAACTTTCTCAAGGTTACTCAGCTAGTAGATGGCGTTTCCAAGGTTAGGAGAGAGAAAACTCCCAGTGGGTTGTTGGCTACACACCCGTCCCTTTAGTCACCTTCCCAAGCCTCGGTAGTAATAGTCACAGATCACTGCCACTTCAAATTATGATGGAATGAACTTTCAGAATTAATGAGAGGAGTGTGGGGGTGTGGGGAAGGCAATGTGATGAAGTGGGGGGAGTGAGACCTTGGCCAGGCTCCACGTGTTTCAGCCCCGCTCTGTCACTCTGTCGCATCCTGGCTGTGTGGATGGATGGCTGTGAGGTTCTGGGCCTGGCTGCCTCCTCTGCCTCTCTGGATTGCTGGCAATGTGTGCACTAACCTCTCTCAAGTGCGTAGCCATAGTAGACAGCAAGCCGGGGTCTTCTAAGTGTAACTGGCACCAAGACCTCCAGTCATTGCACCGATTCTGCCTCCTGTGCCATTTCTCTGGTCTCCCCCCACCCCATGGGGTCATATAAAGAGCATCTGCTTCCTCGGCCACAGGGAGTCTCTCCTTTTCAGCCTGCTTGTTTCGCTGGGGGAATGGGCTACCCTGTCTGGATGTGTGTTTCTCTTCCCAGAGCATGCATCAGCAGCAGCAGCTCCAGCACCAACAGTTCCAGAAGGAACTGGAGAAAATCCAGCTCCTGCAACAACAGCAGCTGCCCTTCCCCCCACCTGGAGACGTGGCTCAGGACACCGAGCTCCTGGACTCAGCCGGCTTGTACTCGGAGAGCTCGGCCACCAGCAGCCCCAGCACATCCCCCAGAGCCTCCAACCACTCGCTCCACTCCAGCGGCTCTCTCTCCAAGGGTGGCACCAGCCCTTCCCTGGAGCAGGACGATGAGGGTAAAGCGAGTTGCTGTTTGGTGCTATTTTCTTTTTCATTTGATCACCACCTGAGAACCATAAAGCACCATCTCCTTTCTGGGAATCTCAATGGGATTATGAAGTGTGTTCCCAAGGGTTCACTAAGTTCTCACCTGACTCCCACTCTGGGGGCTGGGCTTGTGCTCCATCCAATGGCTTCTTCCCCTCAGAGGACCTTTTGGGAGCCCCCTTGGCCCTCCCTCCATCTTCCTCTGCAAGGGCTGGGAATCACTGCTGACCAGAAATGCACTGGCTATCTGGCTTGAGAACATTCCCGAGGCAGCCATGGGCCAAGTATAGAAGTGCAGCTATAGGGGCCGGCCCTGTGGCTTAGCAGTTAAGTGCGCGCGCTCCGCTGCTGGTGGCCTGGGTTCGGATCCCGGGCGCGCACCGACGCACCGCTTCTCCGGCCATGCTGAGGCCGCATCCCACATGCAGCAACTAGAAGGATGTGCAGACTATCTACTGGGGCTTTGGGGGAAAAAACAAATAAATAAAATTAAAAAAAAAAGAAGTGCAGCTATTGATCCACTTTCTTCTGGGAAGTTGGCTCAGGCCAATTGTCAGGGCCGATATTCTGAGGGGATTAACAGAGCTAGTGCAAGAGATTGAGAGTCCTTGACCCCAAGCTGGAAACTCTGCCTCTGGTCTCTTCACCTCACACATCCACTGTCGCTTCCTGATTGTTTCAGGTGCAAGTCTTTAGGTGGATTTGTAGAGAACCCCTGTCTTTGGGAAGACGTACATTCTCACAGTAATGAAAAGGCGGGACCAGGAGGCAGGGGGCAGCCCTGGGCGTGACTAGGAGTGGCCCCAGCCGGCTCTTGTTTACCAGGGAATTGGGGGTGTAGAGCCTCTGAGATCCTGTCTCTTCATCTGACCTCAGGAAGGTAGTAGCCATTCCAGCCTCAAGGTTGTTTAGGTTGTTTGTTTAAAACAACCTCTTCTTTTTCCTGTTTTGTCCCAGATGAGGAAACCAGCATGGTGATCGTTGGGAAAATTTCATTCTGTCCCAAGGACGTCCTGGGCCACGGAGCGGAGGGCACAATTGTGTACCGGTGAGTGGATTGGAGAGCCTTGTGCCTTCACCACCTCATGTGTGAGCACCTGTCAGCTTGCAGGTGGTGTGCCAGGCTCCAGGGGCACAGCAGGGTCATCACAGTGACCGAGACAGAACAGTTCCACCTCCAGGGAGAGAAGTGGTGACCACAGGGCCACCTGGTGGTTGGTCAGGGCCCCCTGGGCCGTGAGGCTGACGAGGTGGCCGCTGCGTCATGAGAGAAGGAGCACCGCGGGTCCACACGTCTCCTCTCATTTCCACAGCCCAACTTGCATCTCCAAACCCAACCCCTGCTCCTTGTCTTGCAGGGGCATGTTTGACAACCGTGACGTGGCAGTCAAGAGGATCCTCCCTGAGTGTTTTAGTTTCGCAGACCGTGAGGTCCAGCTGTTGCGAGAATCAGACGAGCACCCGAACGTAATCCGCTACTTCTGCACGGAGAGGGACCGGCAGTTCCAGTACATCGCCATCGAGCTTTGCGCGGCCACTCTGCAGGAGGTGGGTGCCCGGTGGTCACCGACAGCTTTGTGGCTGCACTGCAGCTTCCCTTCTCCTGGCAACTGGCAACTAGGGTGTGGTTTTAGGGACTGCCGATTTATCTTTTTTTAATTTATTTTTATTAACTTTATTGAAGTTACAATATAATATACTCACTAAAATACTTTTAAGTGTAGAGTTTGATGCATTTTGGCAAGAGTACATACCCATTTAACCACAAACAGTCCAAATGTAGAGCATTTTTATCACCCCTAACTTTAGTTGGGCGGTCCGCTCAGCCTGCATGGGGGCAGTCTTTGGTTACAATTAGCATCTCTCTCCTTCTTGGCCTCCAAGAAAGCTGGCCGGTCCCTCTTCCCATGGCTGCTCAGGGCTGGTGTGGGCTTAGAGGATGCTCATCAGTTGATGACTTGAGTCATTAAGATCATCCAGCGAACTCCTTTTGCTCGGTTTCTAGGCTCAGCATGAACCTATTTCAGTATCATTTGGCTTCACTTGTGGGTTTACCTGTATGAGGCAGTGAACTTGACTTTCTTGCTCTCTTCTTTTCTTTCTCACTGTAAACTAGTGAGTTGGAGCTTTGTTTGTTTAAGGTAGCCTATGACTGGAGCGGAAAGTCTGCTGGAAAATATGGATTTGGACAGAGAATGTTATCTGTAAAACTTCCCAAATCTTTCTTAAAATAGGATCAAAGAAAATGAGCTGACCCAATACCGAATATTAATTAAAGCAAAAAGCAGCAGGCAGGACTTTGCTAAATAAAATTGAATCCTTTAAAAAAAAGAAAAAGAAGCCACGCTGAGGGGGCAAGTGCTGAGGGCTGTGTGCCGTGACCTCACCATCGTCTCTCTTGCAGTACGTGGAGCAGAAGGACTTTGCCCACCTTGGCCTGGAGCCCATCACCTTGCTGCAGCAGACCACCTCGGGCCTGGCCCACCTGCACTCCCTCAACATTGGTGAGAGGCCTCCCTCGTCAAGGCCACGGTCCTGGGTGGTGTGACCGACTTGCTCCCCTCTGTCGAAGCTCTTTGCTGCGTTGCTGGTGTGCAAGTTGTGTAAGAATTTGAGGAGGTCTCTTACACAGTTGAAAACCAGAACCGTTAGAGGCAGCGGCAGGTCTATTGGCGGCCTGAGGAGGGTGCACTCCCCATTGCAGAAGGAAGCATGATGTTGCTTGTGGTAAATATGGGACTAATCTGAAGTTTTATATTAGTTCACAGAGACCTGAAGCCTCACAACATTCTTCTTTCCATGCCCAATGCACATGGCAAGATCAAGGCCATGATCTCTGACTTCGGCCTCTGCAAGAAGCTGGCAGTGGGCAGGCACAGCTTTAGCCGCCGTTCAGGGGTGCCCGGCACAGAAGGCTGGATCGCTCCGGAGATGCTGAGTGAAGACTGCAAGGAGAACCCTGTGAGTAATGAGCACAGTCCTTTGAAAACTGCAGAACCAGCCTCTTGGATCTTCAGGAATAAAAGCCTCCAAGTTCAAGACTTAGGGGCTGGAGCACATGTAGCTGGAGAATGACGTTTCTTTCACAAAGAGTGCGCTGCTGGCATTCTCCATATTGTCTCATATTCAGATGAATGAAGGGCGCAAATGTGGGCAATTGTCTTTTTTTCCCCGTACTCTTCTAATCACTTTCCCCTGCTATTTGGGAAACTGGGAAATCAGGACTTGCACAAGGTGGACAACAAACTTCCAGTTTTTGTTCTTTTTTTTTTTTTTTTTCCCTGTTTTTGTTTTCCCGACTTTTTATTTTGAGAATTTTTAGACATACAGAAGATTGAAAGACTGTTTTAGTAAATACCTCCATGCCTCCACCTAGATTCAACATTTGTTAATATTTTTTATTTTCTCTCTATTTATCAGTTGCTGAAGCATTTGAATGTAAATGGCAGGCATCCCAGCCCTTCACCCTTTAATACTTCAGCACGTGTCTCCCAAGAACAGATACATTCTACTTCCTAACTACTATACTATTGTCACACCTTAACGGTCCATGCTGTTTTCATGATATCTAATATTCAATCCATATTCAAATTTCCCCAGTTGTTCCCCAGATGTCTCTTACAGAGCTGGTTTTTGTAAGCCAGGACCCAGTTGAGTGTCTTTCCTTGCTTTTGATTTTCCTCCTTTCATCTGCTATGGTCCTCCTACCTTTTTTGTTCCGTGATCATGACTCTTTGAAGAGTGCAGGCGCTACTCTGTAGCACGCCCCGCTTGGGACTTGCTCTCTTGTTTCCTCATGGTGGCGTTTAACTTTCCCTTCTGTTCCTTGTATTTCCTGTAGAACCAGAACTAGTTCTAAAGGCTCAATTAAATTCAAGTTAAATGTTTTTGGCAAGAACAGTCACAGGACACAGCATCAGGAGGCACTAGATGGCAGCTTGTACCATTATTATTGTACCCCCATGAGTGATGCCAACTTGGCTCCCCTGGCGCAGGTGGTGACCACTGATCTCTCCACCACAAAGGTACATTCCCCCCTTTGTTGTTAGCACTGTGTGGGATGATGCTTTGGCACAGTGTGAATATCCTGTTAACCAACAGTCATTCACCCGATGGTTCGGCGTCCATTGGCAGTCCTTACCTGAATCACTTAACTCAGTGGAAATTCTTCCACATTTATTAGCTGACATTTTTCTGTAAAGAAGAGCTTTATTTTTATCCCCTTTCTCTCTATTTCTTTCTCTCTCTCTTTTTTTTTATCATTACAGACTCATGGATTTTAAATATAGTGTTAGAATCCATTGTAGCCCTTATTTTTTTCTTTCATTTTTTTGTCCCTACTCCTTTTGATACTCATAGATTGTTCCAGATTTGACCAATGGGAGCCCTTCAGGCTGGCTTCTGCACCCTTTTGCTAAGAGCCCACTTGTGTTTGAGCACCTTGCTTTCTAGAACAAGACATCAGACGATTACCTCATACTTCCCTGATCCAGACCTGGCTGGGCTCAGCCATCCTAAAATAGATTAGATCCAGCAGAGCCCTCTTACCCAATTCTGGGCACCTTATTAAACATCTTAAACAGTTTGTTTTAACTTAAAGCAAGTAATGTAATTCTTTAAGTAATAGGAATATTTTGATGTAGGTCAGTGTCTTTTCTTTGAATTTGGGTCCAACTGAATGGAGTTGTTCATTTTCTCTCTTGCCTGAAGCACACTCACAGGGCACTTCTGTGACTTCTAGATTGAGACTTGGACATTTCAAACTCGTCTAAGCAATTTGAGAGCAGAAGCCTAGCTTTTAACTATTTATGTCCCAGTCCCTTACAGTTGAGTCTCCCACTTCTAATATCACAGCAGTTTTTGTAGCCACTCCCTTTTATTGAGGCTTTGCAAAGATTCAGCTTACCTCAGACTTGGTGGCATGTATATTTTATCAGCTTATGGAATATTTAAATTGCAAGAACAAGTGCAGTAATAAGTTTGGGAAAGAAGATAACTGAGCGTGGAGAGGAGCGAGTGGGAGCAGAGGGAGCCGGGCAGGCAGGACAAGAGCGCCCAGCTTCAGCAGTGAGTGTGCTGGAGAGGCCAGGCAGTGCAGCTACAAAACGGAGCGCATTAATGATGCAGTGAGTAGGTGAGAGGTGGCAGTCAGCTTCAGCTGTGGGGGGTTGTTCCTCCTGTCCCGGATCTGTTACCCACCTAAGGAGAATTCTGGTGAGGTAGAATAAAGGTGATTGGGTGTGGGAATTAGAAGACCTGAGCCTTGTCCTCGTGTCACTGTCCAGCAGTGACCCCGGGCTTGTCACTGAATCTTTCTATCTGTGTCTTCATCTGGGAATGATGACATTAGCTCACCTCACACAGCTGTTGTGAGGCTGAGTGACAGTATAGTATTGTTAAAGTTGTGTTTCTCCAGTGTTGAAAGTGATGAGCTCCTGGCTTTCTCTCACTAGATCCTCATGTCATCTAGTGGAGAATCTAAGAGATAGAGCCTAGTAATAGGGACCCAAGCCATGCTTGGGACCACCCCAGTGTTACAACCCAAGTAGCACAAACTAGAAATCACATGTGCACATTCCCTAGAGAGAAGCTCAACCATAGACATGAAATGGTGTCATGGGATAAGTGAGAGTCATTATCAGATAAGATGAAAGACATCATTGGAAACTTGTCAAATAATTTCTTTGTGGGGCTGTTTTTGAATCCAAAACTTTTATTCATTTATTAACAAAGTTTTGAGACCTGCCGTGTGTGGGCACCAGTCTAGGCCCTGTGAGTACAACAGGGAAGCAAACACACAGAAATCCCTGCCTACAAGGACCTACATGCTGGTTGGGTAAAGAATAACTAATGGCCAGGAGAGAGCTTCCTATGGGCCAAGCACTGGTTTAAGGAACCATTTTCACATATTAACGCATTTAATCTTCACAACACCCTGTGAGGAGCATACTATTGTTATCCTCATTTTACATTCGTGGACACCAAGGCACAGAGTGGATAAGGAGCTTCCAGCTGGCAAGTGGTAAAGCTAGCATCCCGGGCAGTCGGCTCCAGAGCCCACATTCTTCACTGTGACCGCAGACACTTGTACAGCACCTCCAGGGTGGGCAGCACTGCTCTGAGCAATTCCCGTATGTTAGCCGATTCTCCCAAGACACCTTCAAGGTGGAAGAAGTAGCCGGAACGCTCCTCTCCTCCCTGGCTGCTGAGAATGAGAATCCTGCCCCAGAAGCCCTCTCACGCGTCATGTTTCTTTTCAGACCTACACAGTGGACATCTTCTCTGCGGGTTGCGTCTTCTACTACGTGATATCTGAGGGCAGCCACCCTTTTGGCAAATCCCTGCAGCGGCAGGCCAACATTCTCCTGGGCGCCTACAGCCTTGACTGCTTGCACCCCGAGAAGCACGGTGAGTGGGCGGGAGGGGTCAGGCCAACTCCTCAGCTGCCCGAGTGGCCCCTCCAGGCTGGGATGGTGCTGGCTCTGTGCTCCCAGAGCCCCTTCTTTCTAGCTGCTCATCTGTGGGCCTCAGTGAATTGGTGACTCATTCCAGAGCTGGTGGAGGGCTGAGTAGAGTTATTCTTGGAGCACCTCCTTCTAAAGCCAAGAAGCTCTGAGCTTCCTTCAGGTTATCCAGTTATTGGTATGACCTGGGCAAGGGCCCTTTTGGGGACTTCTGTTTCCCAGCTTATAACTTGTGAGGGTTAAATAATCTGAGGTCCCTTCCTGCACGGATGTTTGGGAAGATAGATAGTCCATGCTCAAGAAACTGGACTCTCTTGTCTGCAGGCCAGCGGTCAGTGGGTGTGGCCTGGGCTGGGGACAGACGAGCTTGGTCCTTGCTCTCCAGGCGCGGGTGCAACAAGTCTTTCTCCCTGACTTCAGGGTCTCCTGTGTTATAATTGGCCCATGACACCCCAGTGCCACCTTTTTAAAAAATTAAAACTAACTTATTGTTTTGCTTATGAGTGATTTTCCTTATTCTCCGTAGAAAAAACAGATTAGCATAAAGGCCCATAATTCCATTATACAGTGCTGAGTGACTGCTGTTAATACTTTTGTGTTTTTATATACATTATTCCAATCATCTGTTTAGACATGTATGCATATTTTTATAAAAAATGGGATTAAATAATACATACTATTTTGCAACATGCTCATTTTTTAACTTCATCTTGAATCTCTCTCCATGTCTATCTGTATTCAGCCATGGTGTCATTTTAATGGCTCATAGTTCAGTATGTGGAGGCACGGCAATGTTACCTGGGCCTCTGATATTGGGTATTTCCAATTGCTCCTTTTCACAAACTGGGCATTGAGGACTCTCCTTATTAGCCAACGTTTTGTGCAAGTTCTTAATTATGTTATTGGAATGAATTCCTGTCAGTAGACTCTTGAGTCAAGGGCATGCAGGTTGTTGAGGTGTCTGGTATTTCATTGTGGCTTGAGGCTGGTAGTAATGGGTTGCTTGTTTATTTTCCTCCGTTGTAGAAGATGTCATTGCCCGAGAATTAATAGAGAAGATGATCGCAATGGATCCTCAGAAGCGCCCCTCCGCGAAGCACGTGCTGAAACACCCGTTCTTCTGGAGCCTTGAAAAGCAGCTCCAGTTCTTTCAGGTAGAGACCTTTGTTTTCTTTATCAAAAATCTTCATTTAGCTTTTTCTAGATTTTGAAAATATAACAAAGGACAAATAATAAAACAAATGACCCATAATAACCATGGTTGACGTTTTAATATATTTTCTTCATATACATAAAAGTGTCATTAGGATCAAAATGTATTTAGTTTTGTATCCTGCTTTTTTTTTTTACTATACATAATATTTTAAGTATTTTTCCATGTTAAAGTTTGAGAATTTTAATGACTATAGTATTCTATCATATGGATGTACCATAGTTTTAAAACTTTATAATATAGGAACTTTCAAATACACACAAAAGTAGAGGGAATACTATAATGAATTCCCATTTACCCATCAGCCAGCTCTGACAATTATTAACTCAACCTCTGCCCTCTCTCCACCCCTCCCCACCCCAGATTATTTTAAAGCAAATCTGAGGCATCATATAATTTCATTCCAGTTTCATAAATTTAAACATTTCCTTATATTGGATTTTTTTCTATCATCTTTTACTCAGTCTTTGCCCAGATCTTTTCTTGCTTAAGATAGATTCTGAGAAGTTATGTTATACGATCAAGGGATATGAACTCCTTTAGTAGTTTGACTGTGTGAAGTCTTTGTGACATTGCCAGGTGGCTTTGTGGAAAGGTGATGTGTTTCTCAAAGTCTTCCCTGGAGTGAGCTCAGCATCGCTCGTCCAGATGCCTGCTGCTAGCACGCCCACTCTGAAAGCAGGCACACGGGGCCGTGCTTTTCCTCCTGGGTCTGGGCCCGAGTGGAGTTGGTGAGCGCCGTGATCCAGAAGTGACCATCACACTGTCCTGAACTCTGACTAGAGCCGTGGCTGTGGTGAAGCCCCCAAAACACAAGCTCCTTGAGGGCAGGAGTGATTGATTGCTGGGGTCACTGCTGTGTGCCCTGCCACCTGGGACACTGCCTGGCACGCGGCAGATGCTTAGTAATTATTTGGCTGGGTTGGGAGGGGGACGGTTTAATGCCATCTTCCACAGCAGCAGTGGGTAAGTACAACATCAGGTTGATCACTGTGTTCCACAGGACATAACATTAAAATTCTGAGGTCAGATGTCTTCAGGGGACTTCTGAAAACTAGCCAGGTCACTCTGATGAAGACAAAATATAGAATAGGAGTAAAGCTCAAAAGAGACCTTCACCCCACCATGGGTTAGGATTTCAACTCGTAGTATTTCCAAGTGGTATGTCTTGCAAACACAGCTGGCTTCCATCTGTATCAACTAGCTGTATCGGCCTTGCAGCTCAGAACCATGTATCCCCAGTGTACCCGAGCTGACAATCTAATCCCTCCAAGGCTTTCCTCTAGCAATTGCAAGTTAGAGGGTCAGCCAGTCTGGCTTCATCTTCATCAAAGAAAGAAAAGACTATGGGTCTTATAAGGCTACTCAGTGTTAATGTGTTTGGGCTCATCACTCTGTTCCCTCAGCTGTCAATGGACCCGTCTAGTATTACTAGTGGGGACCAGCGCTCAAGGGGCATTCATTCATCTATCAAACACGGAGCAGGGTTTGAATCCAGGGCAGGGGCCTCTGGAGCCCACACTCTTGTCAGCAGGTTTCCTCCTCTAAAAGAAGGCTTCCCAGGGCCGGGCCTGTGGCTTAGTGGTTAAGTGCGTGCATTCCGCTGCTGGCGGCCCAGGTTTGGATCCCGGGTGCGCACCGACGCACCGCTTCTCCGGCCATGCTGAGGCTGTGTCCCATGTACAGCAACTAGAAGGATGTGCATCTATGACATACAACTATCTACTGAGGCTTCGGGGGAAAAAAATAAATAAATAAAATTAAAAAAAAAAAAAAAGAAGGCTTCCCTTCATCTGTCTTTTCTAATGTTCGATGAGGAGTAACAACCCTTCACCAGTTATGGATGTTTTAATGGGTAGACAAAAAGCACAGGATGCAAATCAAAATTGAGCTTTTTTGGTTGATTGACGAATATAGATTGCACATATGGCTCTGTGTGGAATGTAGTGTGCGTATGTGTATGTGAAAAACAGGTGAGGCATTCAGGGTCTGTGTACAGGTGTGTATCTGTGACACTTCTTTCTGTCAGGGAGACGGTCTGTGGGCCTCTCCCCAGTGAGCAACAGACATGCTGCTCACAGGGGAAAGGTTAATGGATTGGGGATGGGCAGTGAGGCAGGCTTCAGCCCGGGCCTAAGAGGGCCATCGGTCTCTCTACGACTCATGTGGCACTGACCACTCTGTTACCTAGTGTGTCGATCCTCCAGCTCTCAGCTGCTCTGCGCTCTCACCACCCTCTGCTGCCCTTGTTTCCCTCACAGGACATCAGTGACCGAATAGAAAAGGAAGCCCTGGACGGCCCGATAGTGAAGCAGCTGGAGAGAGGCGGGAGAGCTGTGGTGAAGCTGGACTGGAGGGAGAACATCACCGTCCCCCTCCAGACAGGTGACCACGCTGGAGCCCCTGTAAATGTTGGCAGGAATGTTTCAGAAGCGGCAGCTGGTTCTAAGAAGCAAACATGGAAATGGCAACTTGAGGCTGTTCGGGCTCCAGATACCACTTGTGGGGTTGAGGCTTTCTGTGGGTGTGTCCTCTGTGGTCCAGATGCAAATCAGACCATTAGCATGATGTGTGTTTCACTCTCGTCTCTTAGAGTGACAGGTTAGTGAGAGGTGTTGTGCTCTCAGTGGTTATTTCTGATCATGGGTGCAATCAGGAGGTGCATTCAGACTAACACTGCTCTCAGTTTCAATTTGGGGAACATGCTCCCCCAAACTATGAGTAGAGAGTTATGTTGCATTTCAGTCTGATCACTTAATCCCCAGGAGCCTCAGGGATTGTTTTCTTTTGGAATGTGTTGTTACATTGCATTCCTTGTTTTTTTCCCTAGATCTGCGTAAATTTAGAACCTATAAAGGCGGCTCCGTCAGAGATCTCCTCCGAGCCATGAGAAATAAGGTAAGGGTTGTGAACACTGCGTGGGGCCAGGCGGCAGCAGCACAGCCACCCTCCTCATGTCCATTCTCTGTGGGTCCTTTCATCCATACTGGAATTCTGACCTCTAAGAGGCTGGGAGTCCTTAGCAGGACTTGACAAATTAGAGGCTGTTTCTTCCTTTAAATGGGTTTTCTCTTCAGGGACATTGAGGTGAGGAGTTTCACTCTGGGAAGCAGGCTCTCTGATGCCAGTGTCCTTTGTGGTCTCTGCTGACTTGTATGGTGCCCTCTACCTGCCTGATTTAGCACCGTATAGACTCCGTCTAATGGGGACCCTCTGGCACCTTCCCACAGGGGCCTGGTCACTAGGGCCTCAGAGCAGGGACCTGGGGGCGCTCTTGGCCTGTGCTGTCACCAAGCCGTCCTCAAACAGGGCCCCGGCACCGACGAGGCCTCTAAGCCCATTGGGAAAGACACTTCAGTCCCAGGCAACTTTATTCCACTTGAGGCTGCCAGGAATCTCACTAGGTCCCTGGCACTGGAGGCCACTCTGGCAGTGAAGCTCCTCCCTGCTCACCCCGAATGGGGCCTTGCTCAGCTCCCAGGCCTCCTCCTGAATAAGGGAAGCAGGCCAGGTGAGTGGGATAGATTGTTGGCCACATAAACCTGTCTTCCTTTCCTTTACAGAGAACAGACTAATATTCTGTCTTCCTTGAATAATAGAAGGGTCTTTTACCAGCGCTTCATAGATTTTCTAACTGCTAACCCCCTGTGTCTGTGTGTCCACCCTGTTTGTAGAAGCACCACTACCGGGAGCTGCCCGTGGAGGTGCAGGAGACGCTGGGCTCCCTCCCTGACGACTTCGTGCGCTACTTCACCTCGCGCTTCCCCCACCTCCTCTTGCACACCTACCGGGCCATGGAGCTGTGCAGCCACGAGAGGCTCTTCCAGCCCTACTACTCCCACGAGCCCCCCGAGCCCCAGCCCCCAGTGACTCAAGACGCCCTCTGAGCCAGGGCAGCCTCCATTCTGGTGGCCCCAGCTTTGACTGAGGGCCTGGTCTCTACAAGCCAGAGCCTGAAGCCTCCCGGCTTAGCAGGGAAACCAGGCTCCCAAACCAAGTGCCTTGAGCTGCCCGCTCTGCAGCCAGCAGAGGAGGATGCTGGCTCGAGGAAGTGGGAGAGGTGACCCTTCCTGACCTGCAGGGAGCTGGGAAGATGTTAGCCACGAAAGCTTTACAACTGGGGGACGTCTGCAAAGGAGGGCCCGTTCCAGAGGCAGCGAAAGGAGCACCCTCCTCCTTCTCTTGGATAAGATGGCTTTAGACTTACATTTCTTTTTAAACTTCCCGTTTGATGTCAGCCTGTGGGCCTTTAAGGAAGAGAGAAGAGGGAATCCTAAGTTTTGCCTACTTGCTGGGACCAGGAGCATCTCTCTCCTCGACCAGCTAGGCTGAGATGTGCTAAGGGCAGCCTCTGCCAGAAGTGGGCTTGAGAGGTGAGGGTGCCGAGGAGGAGGAAGACGTTCAGAGGGCTTTGTCCCTGGGGATTGGCGATGCCTCACTGATCACAAATGCGCCCAGAGTTTCCCAGGTCGCTGTAACCACTGTTTCCTTGGGGACAGCAAGAGCCTTGAGCATGGGAGCGCAGTGTTGGGACAGGTCGGCACCGCATGCTGGAAGGTGAGGCCAGGTCTGCAGGTCTCAAAAACGAAGAGCGCAGTTCTGAGGCAGCTGCAGCCCAGTGCCCGGGTGGCCTGAATGGTGGCCTTTGGTGGATTTATGCCCTGGGCCACTTGGGGATATTATGGAGCGTTTGGGGACAAGATATGATAAGTTCCCTGGCCATCAAGGAGAGCAGCTGAGGCCCAGGCAGGCACAGGTCTTCAGGACCGGAGGGGAGCAGGCTGAATGGGACACATAGCCGCCCTGGGAGAGCCCTGAGCCAGTGGGTAGGTGATGAGGCTCCTCTGTCCCTGGGGCCAGCAGGACGGACCAGGGGGTTGGGAGCCAAGGCCAGGGTCAGCACGTGCTTCATAGGCAGGCTTTTATGTTTTTCTTGGCAGATTTTAATAACTTTATATTTTGATCATACTGTAGAATGCTACATTAGCGTAAGTAAGCTAAATTTGAAGCTTACTCGTGAAGAAGAAATGCAAGATGATAAATCTTCTATTTTTTGTGGTACCAAAAGTCCCCATCCCCTCCAGAGAGAATGTTCATATTTAGAACATTCTCTGATGCTGAAGAGTAAAACATGATAGCAACACTATACACATGTATTAAGCAATGTCAAAGTAATATTCTCTAAATTAGGTCAATCACATGGTATTTTTTTTCCTAAAATTAATATAATTTTTAACTTTAGTTCCAGTAAAAAACTCCTCTGTCTTTTCTCCACCGAGAGCCTTAGAGGTTATGCAGTCAGGGTACCGTGTAAGGAAGCCTTTTTCCTGTACTTTCTCCAGCTGGGTGAACGATCATGGCGGTTCAGTCCTGGGGACTCAGAGACTCCATTCAGCAGTTGAATGTCATTGTCGGGTTTTACTAACTGATCAGAAATCACTGTTTCTTCTTCTTGTGAGATGGTTTCTAGTGGGGTATGTGTATGAGGGCCGCTCATCAAAAGCTCCCCTTCTGCCTTTGTAGAATCCAGTTCCTTTCCTTTCATAATGCCTAAAGTCACTTTTATTTCTTGAATTAATATTATCCTACATCTTTAAACCTCAATTACCTCATTTAGACCTTGGAACCCTGGTGTCCTTGGTTGGCATTGCGCATCTTCTCCCATGCTGTCTGTTTTCAGGAACTTGTCCACAGGGTTTTCCTGTCCCCGCTCTGATGCCCCGTGCCTGCGCCCCCCTCACTGCCCTTCTTCCCCCGCTCTGCGGGCCACTTTGCCGCGCAGCCTGCCTGGGGTAGCCCCAGAGAGTCAGAGGTGGAGAAGGTGCCACGAGTGACTTAATGGGGCTGTCAGCTTTCTGTGCTGCCGGGGGACTGCTCCTCACCTCGTTCTCATCGCTGAATTTCTCTTTTGGGGAGTAGCCAGGTCATTTCTAGCTGCCCAGTATTTGTGACATCTCTGTTTTGGCCCAACTTGCTTCTGGGACAACTTTTTAAAAATGCCTTTTCTGCTTATCCTATTAGTTTCTAACGACCCAACTTTCTCAAACTCATTTATTCAATGTATTTTATCCGAGCACTTACCATATGAGCCAAGCAGGATACTGGGTGCTAGGGACACAGAAGTGAACAAGTTAGCAAAACCTCTGCTTTCGTAAGAGCTTATAGTGAGAGCGACAACAATAAACAATAAATAAATTCTCAGTGCCACAAAGAAAACCCAGGGGGTAGGGAAGGGCATGCATTTGGGGTTTGCACCTCTTCTGTCTTAAAGCTGCCCACGTCCCAGAACCCCTCAGATGTGGTCAGGTCGCCTTCTGTCCATCTTCTCTCCGTCACCTTTAGGAACCCACCTTTAGTCAGTCCTTCAGTGGTTTGACAAGGTCTCATGTGGGCACTTGTCATGAAAATAGTTTGGGCGTCATCTGGTCTGTTTATCCTGTTCTAGTCTCTAGAATTCTGGTTTCCTGTTGTGCTCAGCACAGTGGGAGGGTGTCTTTCTTTGGCCAGAACAGGGTTCTGCAGACTTGGTGCATCCTGTTGAAGCTGAGCAGTGTGATCTTTACAATTCCTGGAAGGCTGTTTAACTTTTTAGAAGTACGCTGTCTTCATTTTTAAGACAGAATTTAGTTACATCTGTGAGGAATCTCAAGGACACTGTGATTTATTTAAATTTATTCAATCTTGTATTGAATCTGTCTTTGGCATACCTTTCCAGAATTTCTCTTGTTGCTTCTTGAGTCTTTTTAACTTCAGTTTATGAGGAGCTCCACATGTCACTGGGCATCAGCATTTGCACTTTGGGGAATCATTGGTGTTACTTGATAAGTCACTGAACCATCTAGTGGCTGACCTATAAAATCCTGGGTGCAAAGGTATGATCCCCCCAATCTCAGTGCAATAGTCGTCATAGGTTCTTTCCAGTGAGACGTGGCCCTGACCTGTTACATTTGTTATATTGGAAGATCCACAGGTTAGTGGGTTCAGCAAAATATTTTCTTCCCACCAACTCAAGATGGAAGGTTCTTAGCAGAGTTAAGCCTGATCCCTTCGGTAAGGTTTCGTGTGAATGCGATTCCTTTACCATTGCAGTCCTTTCTCGCTGCAGGAAGAGAGATGAATTGGTTGCTGATCTGACCTCTCTCGCAGATGTGGGGGCCTGTGGCTTGTAGGGATTTCTCCTCTCGGCTGCTGCCCTTTCAGAAGTTGTGCTCCAGGCAGGTTTGGATTTCCCGAGACTGTTCCTCTTCTCTATCTCTGTTCTCAGCCTTGAGGTCCTCGCAGAAGGTGGGCGGCTTCTGCTCCTACAGCCTTCTGTGCCCGAAGAGCTGGAAAAGACAGCACAGCACAGCACACCTGTAAAGAGCCTCTTTTAGTTCTCTTTAGCTTTCTCTCTGCCCATTTAGTTTCTGAAATCCCTTTTCTTCGTATTTCCCAGCGTTTCTTTTCCTTGGTCATTCCTTCACCATCCTGGAGTAGTTGAATATGGCCTGGCATAAGCGTTTCCTGAAGAAAGTCATCAGGTGTCCTATATAGATGAGCCAAAATTCCACCTTCCAGGGTTGGACCATTGTCTTTTAAACCAAAGTGTCTCATCTTCCTGTCCTTTGTTTTCTGTATGAAGCAGTGATTTCCAATGAGAAACTCTAGTTCCAGTTTGTATATTGGCACTTAAATCCTTTCTGTATTCATTGGAAAACCACAAGGAATCTGCAGTGAGCCTCCCACTGGAGCAGCCTTAACCAACATGTCCGGCCAAAGTCCCCACCCATCGCCTCCCCCTGTGCTCTTTGTGTGTTTGGTGGGTACAGTATTCCTTTTCAGTCTCCCAGAAGCTGTGACGGGGGAGTCCCCACTTACCTAGAAAGCATTACCAGTCAACTATGTGGCATTCTCAGATGCAAACCTTATCTAGTGTTCTTTTTGCAATGACCTATTTATTTAACCTATTTATATTTATTTAATTTTTACTCTGAAGTGTTTCCAGTTACAATTGCACTTGCTTAAAGCACATCAGATTTGTTTTGGACAACACCCCTGACCATTTTAAAACTGGAAAAGGAAAAGTTATACTGTATCCTTCCATGGGATGGATGCCTTACAGTAGTTTTGTCATTAAAGGGTGATTAATTTGGTCAGGGTAAACATGTTAATTTTTAAGTGATTTTATAAAAAATTCTGTGCCATTGTGTCTTCTCTGTGGACGGTTAATTGTTTAATGGGTATGTGTTAATTGTGTGATACAATCCTCTTTGTGGAACCTAAAATCCTCTTTTTAGCTTTATATTTTATAAACTGCCAGATTGTATAATTTTTATGTGTATTTTTAAAGCTTGATGATGTGAGGGTAATTATCTAAGTTAAATGGCCTATTTTTGTACCTCCTGTACAGTTTTATAATTCTGCTGATTGATGAAGGCGTCTAATGTTGAGCCAACCACAAATAAAGGTAGTTTTAGATTTGGAAGCCAGCTTCATCTTCTTAAAGACTTGACCACCACTCTCAGACCAGGGGGTCGTTCTCGGCTCTTCCGGGGTAGGGGTCTGGATGGTGAGGGTGAGCAGCTGGCTCAGTGGGTGAGAAGATGGGTGGTGGGGTGCAGTTGCCTGCTGGTGTCCATGGCAGGGTCCAGGGGCCTGGAATGTCCTCCTTGGTGGCTATGGGAAAGGTTCTTTGAAACACTGCAAGAAGTCCCCCAAAGTATTGATTTGGGCTGGTTTCCAGGAAGGGGGCCAGGTTGGGACAGATATGCTTCATGGTGAGAATTAGGCTTCAGCAGAGTTTGGGGCATGTGTACGGTGAAGAGGATACTGGACCAAGGAACCCACAAGGGGAGAAAAACCATGAGGTAACTCGGCCAACACGGTGGTGGGAAAGCCACGACCTGTGAGTCAGAAGCACGTACTATGTCCACCCACGTGCCAAGGAGTGAGCCCAGCGCCAGTCTGATTGCATTTTAGGATGCTGCCACTGTGCTTTCTCCTTCCCCTGCCCCATCCCCTCTGGTGAAATCGGAGGAGGCTCCACTTCCTCTTGCACCACCAGCCAGGGGCCGCTCACGAAGCATTGAGACTGGCTCCTTCCGCTCCGCGCACCACCCTCCCATCCCGCCCACCTCATTGGGCACCAGGAGCGTCCCTGAAAACCATGGACATGCTCTCCCTCTGAAGCACTGGGTCTTGGGTGCAGCCAAATCCAAGGGAGCATGAGGGGCTGCAGCAGTCTGTGGCACCTGCTTGCTGCCTCCTGTCTCTTGATGCGGGAGCAGAGACAACTCTTGGATTCCCCATACAGCTACTAGACCAGGGCTGGGGCCACGTCTTGAACTGGCCCAGACCAGGGAGGGAGGCAGCTGGTAGCACCCTTAGCTGCCTCTGAGATCAGGCAGGAGGCCAGCAGGTGGTCTAGACGCTGGCACGGCCGGGGCCATGGTTCGGGGCACTCAGGTAGGGTTTGCCGCTTTGCACACTGAGTCAGTTTTGGGCTGCTTTTTTCTGAGTGTTTGATACATTTCATTAAATAAATGCATTATATACACAACTGTATTCCATCAGTGAATGTACCTATTTGCACTATTTCTGTCCGATTTGTGTCATTTGTGCTAGATGTGTGCCTTAGCTTCTAGAGATAACAGTGAAGATAACAGCCCTGCCTGTCTGCCCTTCCTATGGGGCCAGACTCTGTGCTGGGGCCTCCTGTGCCCTGATCACACATTGGCCTCATTCCTCTCTCCCTGCAGACCAGTATTTCCTTCAAGATCAAAAACATTTAGTATCCTTCACTTTAGTGAGTGACTGACCAGACCCTTTGCCAAGGTCAAAACTCAGATCACGAGCGCATGTCTGGGCCAGTCGGCTGTGAACAGAGGAGCAGGGCTGGTACCAACAGGGCAGCCCTGGGAAACCATATTGAAAGATGGCAGGGGTGGGAGGGGGCAGTTTCCAGAAACAGGAGAGGCAGGGCCGGCAGGACACTGAGTAAACTTGGCCTCTGGCGGGATTGGTAGGTGAGCCCAGCAAGTGTTCTTGCCCCCTCCTCCCTATGCCTCTCCAAATGCAGCTTCCCCTTCCCAGCCCAGCTCAGTGATTTGAATAAAGCCTGCAAGCAACACAAAGCTGGAAAGAGTGACTAATCACCAACAGAATTCATGACCCAATCAAGATTCCAGAAGGTACTGAGAAACTGAAATGCTG